TAACAAGTGGCTTTAATCTGAAATTTTAAAATCTCAAACAGCAATATATTTCCACATTTTGTTGTATTTTGATGGCCCTAACAAGAGTTTTCCAATGAAATGATTAAAATTCAGGATTTTTACAGATTTTGAGATTGGCAAAGCGTCAAATTTAAGGGATTTTGAGACAATAATTTGAAGTTTATTTCAATAAATTTCATAAGACCTATCGAGCATGAAAGTTTTTCAGGTGAACACGAAATATTTACCACAGGTGGATATTGTGATGAAAATCCGTGTACTTATATTAATTGTAAAGAAAAAACAAGTAACGACCGAGATTTTAATGCCCTCCACCATTTGGATGGAAGTTGAAAAACTCAAATACAATAGGGTTTAAATGAAAACTGTTATATGGAGGCTATACGAAGACGAGGACCTGCATAAGCAATATCTCTTTTATAGGCTATAGCACCCATACGGATCTTCAAATCACGAAATTTAAAATAATTCCGTTAAATAATGTCGCCAATAATAAATATATCGGCTTCACTCCCTCTTATCATTAATTATATAACAATTAAAGTAAATGTAGGTCTCCAAATCTTCAAGATTGTAATAATTCTTGAAAAATATTCTTTAAAAATCCAATATTTAAAGTTCGATGGACATTGAAAAATTGTTCATAAAAAATCCAATATTATAGATCCGATGGACAGTAAAAGAGTATTTTTAAAAAATCCAGATGGTCGGTGAAAACTCATGAGAAACATGTAATTGAATAAATATTTTCTTGAAAAATGTACTTTAGTAGTCAAAAAAAAATATTTAAACATCAACGATTATTGCTCTGAATATTCTTAAAAAATATGCAAACAAATCCGCCATTGTAGTCCATAAAATATATGAATAAATCCACCATTATAGTGTTTAACAAGTAAAAAAGCCGCAAGTTCGGCCGGGCCAACCTTTTAATATCCTCCACAATTAGTAACGATTCTGGCAATTTAAAATCCGTTAAAAATTATATTAAAATCTTTAAAAAACCTAATGTGGCCGTTATATTATGGTCTTTACGACGACGTGGACCTGCATAGGCATCTTTTGTCATAAACTATTACAATATTCAAATGCGAAACCTGAATAATGTAGCTAAAATCATCAAAATTTCGAATATAGGGAGGAAATACCGTAGGGGTATCCATTACGAACTTCAAACATTAAATTTGAAACAATTCAGGTATATAATGTAGCTAAAATCATAAAAATACCGAATATCGTGAGACACGGTTCTATGGGGGATATACGAAGACGTGGACCTGCACGGACCATTTTCTGTACGGACATCGCTAAATCGACATAGAATTTTATGCTGATCAAGAATATATATACTTTGTGGGGTCTAAAATGTATATTTCGAGGTGTTACAACGGAATGACAATCTTAATATACCCTCAATACTTTAGTGGAGAGTATAAAAATATGGAAAAAATATGTGAACCACGATGGTTCTTAAAAAATGTAAAGATACAAATATCCATAATTACCATACTTGAAAAAGTATAAAAATCTACATATTTAAAAAAACACGATTGTAAAGAAATATTAAAAAATATCACTATTATAGTCCTTTAAAGATATACATTAAATATAAACGATTATAGTCCTTAAAAAAATTAAAAAAGGCACCATTGTAGTCTTCACATTTTTTTAAATCCACCATTCTCTTTAATGTTTCAAATTAGAGCTCTGATAATTGTGTAAAAATCCAAAATTGTCCCTTAGATGATTTTCTCAAATGATACTTTTTCAAAAACCACATCCATAGCCTCTCTTGGTTCTCAAAAAATATTCTTAAAAAATACATGGTAATAACTTTGATGTGCCCAAAAAAATAAATAAAAAGTCTACAATCGTGATTCAGCTCAGTTCTTAAGAAAATAATCTTCAAAAATTCAATTATTTGAAATTCCCGATAAGAGTTCATATTTAACTTTTTATAATATTATTTGCAAGACGACGATTATAACTCTGATGTTAGATTAAAAACAAATATTAAATCCACGCAAACATTTTGGCCGCAGACCTTGGACATTCCAACAGCATTCAGTATTATCGCACTCAGCACGCTCCACCAAGGAATCGTTGCAAAATGAGTTTCATCGCTTCATTTCCAGTGCACAGTGGCCATAAAAATCTCCGGATACCAATCGGTTGGACTATTGTGTCTGGAGTATTTTGGAAAGCAAGGTTGGCACTAAAAAATACCAAAGTGTCGATCAAGCAAGCGTTTCGGCTGGATTGGGCTAAAATACCATTACATTAATCTTCTTCTTCTTCTTCTTCTTCTTCATTCTTTCTTCTTTCTATATCTATAAAAGAGGAAAATGTTTGTACGTTTGTTTGTTTGTTTGTTTGTTTGTTTGTAATTTATGGACTCGAAAACTGCTGAATAGATTTTTCTGAAAATTTCCATATATACTGCAACATCGCCTGAAAGTAACATAGGCTATATACATTTTTGAATTTCCACTTGGAACTGGAGATATAGCATCAGAATCGGAGGTACCTCCCAAAAATTTAGATTTTATATGCACATATCTATTGATCGGTTAAAGATAAAGTCTCCAAATTTGGAATGTGTAACGGAATTTGGAACAAAAATAAGTTTGCTAAATTATATTGTAATCGGTTCAGATTTGGATATAGCTCCCATATATATTTTCGACCGATTTCGTTCATTTGATGCCTCAAACACAATATGAATGTTCGATTCCAATGATATTTGGAATATGTGACGGGATTTGATCCGAAAATAAATTTGTCAAATTATATTGAAATCGGTTCAGATTTGGATATAGCTCCCATATATATTTTCGGCCGATTTCAAGCATTTGATGCACCAAACACGCTATGTATCCCCAATTTCAATGAAATTTGAAACGTGTGATAGATTTTATCTAAAAACATTTATTTCCCAAATTATATTGAAATCGGTTCAGATTTGGATATAGCTCCCATATACATTTTCGGCCGATTTCATGTATTTGGTGGACCAAACAAGATATGTATGTCCAAATTTAATGAAATTTAAAATAAGTAACGGAATCGGGAGCAAAAATGAATTTTTCAAATTATATTGAAATCGGTTCAGATTTGGATATAGCTCCCATATATATTTTCGACCGATTTCATGTATTTGATGCACCAAACACGCTATGTATCTCTAATTTCAATGAAATTTGAAATGTGTAGCGGAAATTAAAACAAATATACATTTGTCAAATTATATTAAAATCGGTTCAGATTTGGATATAGCTCTCATATATATTTTCGACCGATTTCATGTATTTTATGCACCATACACGATATGTATGTTCGATTCCAAAGAAATTTGGAATATGTAACGGGATTTTGATTAGAAAATAAATTAGTCAAATTATATTAAAATCGGTTCAGATTTGGATATAGCTCCCATATATATTATCCGCCGATTTCACATATTTGATGCACATTTGACAAATTATATTCAAATACGCTCAGATATGATTATAGCTCCATATATATACTCAGCCGATTTCACATATTTGATGCACCCAAAGCGAGAGAGACAAAATCTGGCACCAGCAAAAATTGCCAAATTATATTGAAATCAGTTGAGGTTTGGATATAGCTAACATATATATTTCGGCCGATTTCATACATATTATGCACCAAACACGATATATATGACCGATTCCAATGAAATTCAGAATGTGTGGCGTAATTTTGTTATAATAATAAATGTGATAAATTAATTGGAAATTAGTTAAGATTTGGATATAGCTCCCATATATATATTCTCGGTCGATTTCACATATTTGACGCACCAATTTCAATTAAATATGAAAGGTGTGGCGGAGTTTGGTGTAAAAGTAATTTTTTTTAAATTATATTTAAATCGGATCAGATTGGGATATGATTTTAATAAGAACCATTGACCCACAACGCCTTAGGCTAACACTAAAAAACAACACAACAATATATTTGAAATACGCTTATTACGGCGAAGTATGTTGCTATCTCGAATTCACTACTTGCAATAGAAATGCCACTCTACTTAAAAAAATTGCAGTTTCCTGCACGCTTGGTATTTGCTATGAAATAAATAAATCCAAAGGACAAACCCTTCGTGTATGCATGTCATGTTACTGCTTTTGTAATGATTTTGTTTATTAACGCATTAAATTAGTGCAATATTTTTTTTTAATTTTTAAATTTGTTTTTCTTTATCCAACATATATTCGTAAATAAAATTTTGAATGCATATAAAATCAAAAGGGGTAGCGAAGCGCACCGGGTTCAGCTAGTACCATACATTTTGGCGGCGTGTGACGGTCTTATTGAACGTTTGAAGGCCATAATTCGTGCCAAAGGTGACCAATTCGAACAAATCTAAACTAAATTTGATACTATTTTGGACATTTTTTGCTTTCATCCAATAAAATAAAAAAAAATGTAAAATTTAGAGCGCTTGACTTTGTTGCAGTTTAAATAAAAATACAGGTTTTGAAACCTTAAGAAACTCCTGATTAAAAGCAATGGATTTGTTTTTTTAGACTTATTTTTCAAAAAGTCTTGGACCCGATTTCTTGGCTGTGTTCTGTTTACCTTGATTAACCAAGAACAACAAATTCTAAATAATGTTTTCTTAGGATTTTCTTGTCAAAGATCGTGAATTCAGCATTAAAAAATTTATGATAGATATCAAGGCCATAAGTCGTGAAAATTGTTCAACAATTTCCCGATTTTTATTTTTTCAGACATTTTTAAGTAAAAATATAGTCGATATGAATAAACTTGCAATAAACTTGCATTTTTTAGATTTTTTTTTTTGCGTTTGATACATTGTACATATGTATAAAAATGTTCATACGTTGATTCTAAGTCTAAACCCCTTAGTATTTGTATTTTAAATTCCACCATATTCTTTTCCCCCCAAAAATGCAATAAAAACACAATTGATTTGTTTATTTTGATTTTAAGATTTTTCATCTTTGTATTTATATTTCTTCATTTCACTTCTTTTCACTTTCTTCATTCATATCAAAAAAATGCTTAAAAACTAACAAATAATAATAAAAATAATGATAAACATAATAATACTTAAACGGCTAATTGTTATAAACAATATCGATAATAAATTACACACACTACAGAGCTACTTACATACATACATTACTTAAACAATACACTTACGGCCTAGCAATTAAATTACAATCAAATAGAGAGAGAGCGGGAGAGTGAGGAAGAGAATACTTCAATTTCACTTAAAACACTAATATCACAGGTTACGATTGTAATTTACTTGGAAATTCTATAAATAGGAACATTTCTATAAATAATAGTAATTCATTTACATTTGGGGAATGTGGCGTTGAGTTCTTGTTGTTGTTGTGTGTTACAAACTAATAATACTTTTTTTTCTCTTGTTTGTCATTTTTTTGATGATAAATAATGGAGGTTGATGGGGAGGGTGAGAGAGAGGGAGAGTGAGACTAAGTTCAATTTGCAATGGTTAATTTATAAATTATAGGAACCAAAATTGTGGAAAGTAGTTGTTGTTGTTGTTTTCTTGACTGGAATGACTAGAATATTATAAATATTATTGGAAATCCAGAAATAATTAAGTTTGGAATGCTTAGAGATTAGAAGGCGGGTGGATTCTGCTTAAGATTCTTCATAGGTTAACGCATGCCAAGGCTGGATTGCTGCCCCTAAGCTAACTTGTTCCTGTTTTTGGTTCTCTTCGCCCTTTGCCCCGATTTTCGTTTTGTGCCGGGGGACTTTTCAATTTCATTAAATTGTGTTGAGTTCGCCCTCGAACCTGTTGAGTTTTGATTGTTTTTTATGTTTTTAATGAATTTCCTTAAAATCTGTCCCATATTCTTTAGATATTCGAAATAGTGATATTTTACAAATTTCAAATCTATGGAATCGGCTGCCTGCAAATCATGAGGATTTTTATCCACACGCTCCTTGGTGAGCAGTTTAAGGCGTTTGTTCATTTGTGTACGCGTTATAACGGGCATTTGCAGTGATTTATAGGGATGTGTCTTGTTGACGGCTGCCTCCATCTCGCACAACATGTTGCGAGAACTTTTCAGCAACTCCTTGAGCTCCTGTGACGTATTGCTTTCACGTTGAGATTTCGAATGATCGTAGGTGTATTGAATGCGACGCAAATAGGCAAAGGAGGCAACATAGGTTTGCATATTGCGATACCAACGTTTGAGGGCAATCTGTAATGAGAGAAGAAGAGGGAAGGAAATTATTAATTTTGTGTTCTCTTTTTTTAAGTGGGGGAATGATTCATTCAAAGAAACTATTACGAAATTGAAAGTAAAATACAAGGGGGTAAATAAATCGATAAGATAAATTTGTTGGTAAACTATTTGAAATATGTGCGAGTTTTTTTTTTTTTGGAATTTGTCCCATCTCCCCATGTATGAAATATTAAATAATATTTAACATGTAATGTCATTTTGCATATACTGCACGATGACTAATCTTTGTCTGTAGCAAATCTAATAGCTTTGGAAATTTAAACTATTGTCAATAGTCAGTCATGCTTGTAGCAGCGCTTGTAGATCAAAGTCCATTGTGGGGGATGAGTAGTCTAATTTTTATTGTGTTTACCGACAACATTACATGCCATTTAATGGAATTTCCGTTTTTTCAGAATAACGGCGAAAATGTTGTCTATTAGTGGGCAAGATTTTGTAAAGCGTTATTTTTTTCAATTTTTTGTAAAGATTTAAGAAAAGTAAAATAAATTTTCCAATAATTGCTAATAAAATACTTACACTGGAGTTCAATTTCAATTTTGGCAAGAATTTATATCTATAATTGTGTAGCCTCCAATCCCAGATATTACTGATATTAATATCCTGGCGGTGGCTGTCATTCAAGCGATTCAAATCATGAAGTGCGGTATTCTTCAAAAATTTATAAATCTAAAATAAAAAGAAACATAAAAAGATAAATAATTAGTAAAATTAAAACAAATAATTATAAAAAAGTTAAAATTAAATATAACAAAATACAATAAAAAAGTAAAAATATTAAAAAAACAATATTAGGGAAACACAAATTATATAAAAGAACCCTGAATCAATTAAAAATAAAAATTCCGACGCATATTTAAATTAAATCTTCGATTATTTTAAACTCCCATTTGAGAAAAAGAAAGAATTAGTAAAATTAAAAAAATAAAATTGTTAAAAATAAATAAAACAAAATACAATAAATAAGTAAAAATATAAAATTAAACAACTCAATTAAAAATAAAAATTCCGACGGATATTTAAATGAAATCTTTAAGTATTTTAAACATCCATTTGAGAAAGTTTTTAAATTTTTAGATTTGTTGAAGTCAATGTTAATTTTAATAAAAAAAGATATATATTATTTTTCAATTTATTTGTTTATTATTATTATTTTTATTATGACTATGGAAAACATATATATTTATTAATATATATTTAATAAGTTTTGAGTATTTAAAAAAATAAATTGTAAATAAAATATTTTTAAGAAATGGGCAAGTTATTTAGAATTTGAAACTGAAAACAAATACCATTGATATTCCATTAAACAATACACAAACCATATATTTTTTATTTTTAATAATTTTTGAGTATTTAAATAATAAACAAAACAAAATAAATTCTGAATAAAATATTTTTAAGAAAAGGGCTAGGCAATCAGAATTTGAAATTGAAAACAAATACATTTTTAGTGTATTTTTATATAATCTTGTTAAAAAAAAAACATTTAAATTTAAAATGTATTTTTGACAATTTAAATGAAAAAAATTTATTTTCAAATATTTTTTTTGTATATTTATTGTAAATAAATACGAATATTTCAATATTTTATTTTAACAATTATTTTTTTATTCATTTTTTGCATATTTTTTAGAAAAATACGAAATAGAGAAAAATATAATTTAAGAAAATCCTGATTCATATATAATTGAAATAGCTTCATTATACAAATTTTGGAAAATATAAATATTTCATTTTAAATATATATTATTTAAAAATGTGTTTATTTTTACTTTTTTAAACACCGGATATGTATTTGTTTAGGAAAATACAATTTTGCCCCAGTTTAAATTATGACATTTTTTAATTTCATAAAAAGGTAAAGCTTTTTTTCCTTTTTTTAAATTTTTTAATCTCGGGAATTCCTAAAATGTTCTATATTTTCAAGATTAAAAAAAAAAGGTTAAAAAATGGAAAATTATGTATTCATTTACAAAATATATATTTATCCTAATTTCATTTTATAACAATTTTATTTAATAAATTCCGTTCCTGTATTTTATTTAATTTTTATTTATTTATTTTTTGTTCTAAAAATTTGAATTTTTAGAAAAAAAATACCTACGAGATATCCATTTCTCAACAGTTGATTATAATTTTTTTAAATATATTTTTTGAATCTCAAAAACCCCTTTAAATATCTTAATTTTTAATTTATATTTGTATTTAATTCTCTCATTCAAAAAAAAAAAAAAAAAGATTGGAATTTTCAACATTTTTTCTAAGGAGTATTAAGTTTTGAATGAATATCTTCAAAATTTAATTTTAAATGTATTTTTTTAGTTTTAAAAATTGTTTGAATTTTAAAATTGGAAAATATATATTTATTTAGTCCTCATTTTTTATATATACAATATTTTTATTTATTTGTTTTTAATATTTATATACATTTCTTGTAATTTACCTTTCTCTGCTCCTGTTTACTTGGTCGCCGGGTATTTTTGACACTGGGGTCAAAAACTCCACCGCACGGATTGGACCATTCAACGATGCTGGAATTTTCATTGAAATTATTGTAGATATTCCAATTGCTGTGACGTTTACGATGGCGTTTGCCTAAACGCCAAGAATTGGCGGCTGCTGGTAATGCAGCATTTTGAGTTGCAGTTGTTGAGGATTCTGCAGCGGTTCCGGCAGATATGGATGATAATAAGGCAGCATTATTATCATTATGATTATTATCACTGTTATTATTTATTAGTGTACTGGTGGAGATGGTGGGTGCCGCCGTTGATAGACCCATTATCAACACTAATAGATTAACAATTACAATTATGAAATTTAACGAAAACATTTGTGTTGTTGTTGATGTCGTGTTTTTTGTTGTGCTTTAGTTAGACTTGGCAACACACGTGACTTGTGCAACAGTCCGTCAACATGTGGCACTTGAGCTGAAACTTCTTTTGATGTAAAGTTCTTGGTTGGAATTGTTCTGGTTTTTTGTTTACACTTTAATCCACTTTTGGGGTTTGTTGATTAATTTTGTTTTCACTTATAGAAAATTGTTGTTGTTTTTATTAATTTTTAATCCATTCACTTTTAACAATTTAATTGCATTTCAATATTGTTTTTTTTTATATAGATTTCCGTTATTTTTCTTTACTAAATATAGTCCCCGGTGTTTGATCGTTAACTGTGTGTTTTCAAACGGGCGACGAACGCATTCGTAACCGATGAAACAAAATTGTGAAATTGTTCCTGGTATGGGAATGTGGTGTTTGCACGTCAAAGTTTAAAACTAGACTGAATTGTGTGTTGTTTTAATTTTGACTACCTTTCTTTGTTGAGGAGACTTGGGCTAAATCCATCTGTATCTGCTGCGTATAGAGACGACGATGTTGTTGTTGCTGTTTCTGTGTGGTGTGTAATTCTCCTCCTTCTCTCTTTATGTACCGTATGTACGTACACTCGCACAGCAACAAGACAACAACAGCAACAACGCCCATAGCAATGATGACTACGGTCGCTCTGCTATGGCAAAGGCTCGGCTATCGTGCACGAATATACCTACCTCCGAGTTATAAGCCAACGACGACAACAATAACAACAACAACCACATGCAATGGATATTACCATTGTGTGTGCAATGTACCCCCACCACTACCGCACGACACAACCAACAAAAATCTTATTGTTTCCGTTTTTATTGCTGTTGGAGTATTGTTGGCTGGTCATCGTCTCACTTTGGCTGCCGATGTTGTTGTTGCTGTTGGTCTTGTTTTGGTTCCATTTGTTCTTGGTGTTGTGGATGGTTTATTATTATGCTCTTATTTCCATTGGTGTTGTCGTTGTTGTTGGTCAGCGCGCCATCACACCATCCAAACGGGGCAACCACCACCAACAACACAGTTCACTCAGCCACAACAAATAAACAAAACACCAAAATAAGACTCAAGGAATCGTCATTGTTAATGCGTCACAGGTTCTGGTTGTTGTTGTTGCAGCTGTGGCTCCCCCCGTCCCATTGACAATGGTCATTGTGAGTACTCTAATGTTGTTGTTGTTGTGTCTGCTTTAGGCAAGATTCTCAGTCAATTGCGATGGCATACCATGGTCCACAAAAACAGAAAATATCACTCATTTCCTTTTATCCAATGGCCAGTATTTTACTCACATTTCCCCTGCAATTGCTCACCAAACATACACACATGCATATCTACAAATGTATATAAATACTCATACACATAAATAGCTGGGGCCCACAAATAAATACATGACCTAGCATGCCCAGAAAATACCTTTGCACAACCTTTATGGTAGCGTTTATGGCCCCTGCAACATACTTACCTCTCACTCTCCCCTCTGCTACCTTGTTTTTCAAATTAGATAAACTACATTTAATCTTGGCTGGCTACCTGCACGATTTTACCTATTTTTGAAAAACTAAAACATCTGATTGCCAAGGTGGTGGATCATCGTGTTTTATTGGAGGTCCATACTTAGGTTTATGACCGCCACTAAAATACAACGGTTGTCCAATTGCTTATTGACCTTTTTGCAGCATTGCAAAGCTATGTCACGTAGTTGAACACTTTTTATGACACCCTATTAACAGATTAACGGGTAGATTTTTGCCATGTTAATCCGAGGAGATTCTAGAAGAATCTTAAGTATTTGTACCATAAATTATGTAAAGCATTGTCAATGAATTTCAAATTCGAAAAAATTTGATGTGAATATGAAAATCATCAGGAATAGATCTGATCTTTATAACTATTTGGTCAATAAATTATGCAATTTAGGATAAGAATTTGAAAATATTAAACGTTTTTGTTCAATATAAAATTACATTTGCCAAAATAGGGTAAGAAATAAACTTTTACTTATTTATACCCTATAATAGCATGTTTCCATTGAAAATCGAACAACGTTGTTCGCTCTCAGAATTAGGTACACGAATTAACCCGTTCACACGGCACGATTCGTAATTCATAGTAAAATAATTCATTTTTTCAAAAATTTTGTTTGTTGATTTTAATGGGAATTTATACTAAAATACATTAAATTCTCACTAATATGAGTAGACGAAATTATTGTTTTTCTCCCAAAGATTTATTATATCATTAATTTTATAATTTTCATTCATGTTTTCAACTTTTTGTGTAAATGTTGACATTTTTAACATATTTTTGTATTTTTCTGTTTTTTAATTCTGCTGGAGAGACACTTGTCAAACATTTTTTTCTGCCGATACAAACATTTTGAAAATATTGCCTCTTTTGTTTCCAGTTCTCTGTGGAAATTTCAACTCGTGGACAAAATGCGTACCTCGGATGAGAGAGAACACAAAATTTACTTTCGTTTGAATGTATATACGCTATTCAACATTGTAGTTTTAATTCATAATTTTCAGTCTTCCCAAAAATTATCAAAATTTCATTAAATTTTTCTATTTTCAATTTTTAAATGTCATAATTTATTTTTTCGACAAATGCTCTCATTTGTTAGGGATGGGACACATTTTTTCGTTGTTCTGAGAGTGATTTGATTTGAACAATGTAAAAATATGAGTGTTCGCTCAGGAAATTTTGTGTGAAGAATTAAGTAGTTTTTTCATAGTTAAGGGTCAAACAACGAATAGAGAGCGAATCAAGTGCAGTGGAAACGCCACATTATACTATGTGTTGGGGGTATTATAAGTTTGATTAGGCCAACAATTATGAAACACCTCGAAATATTGGTCCCCGACATAGAAAACTATATATGGTTCTTCCTATCTCGCCGAGCTGAGTCGATCTTGCTATGTATGTCCGTACGTGCAAGGTATTTCTAATCACTTTACAGGTCCCACTTAAGACCTGATCATCTCGAAATTCATCGCCAGAATAAAAGCCTATTATTTTTGGAGATTATCGCATAATATTTGGGGGTTGAAATTTACAGTTGATCTACAGTTCGTAATTTTAGACCAATCTACGTGAAATTTAGCATAGGGCAAAATTTTAGGCCTGGTCAGAAGCCTACCATTTTGTTGGGTCATCGGACAATAAAATACGAAAATTTCCACTAAATATTTTTAATGATGGCTAAATCACAAATGCACGGATATGTCTCTTCTGACCGTTATATTGTTGTTCATATCCAAGATATCGCATTTATAGCAAAAAATATACAATCTCATGTATCAATGAAAGGGATGTTAATTAAACCGCTTGTAAATCAAGAATGGCTGGACGGATTTTGACAATTCTCACAAATTCGGAATGGACTCTTGCCAGAAAAGGATAAAAGGATGGGGCTAGAGCTTAGGGCTGTGCAGAAACCTTAAAATTTTGTTGTAATATCAGCCCGAATAGTATGGAAGTTTAGTCCTGAAAATAAGTATGCCAAATTTGATTGAAATCGGTTCAGATATAGCTATAGCTTCCATGTATATTGTCATCCGATTTGTTATTTTTCTCCTCCGCAGGCGTAATATGCACTCTGTAACAACAACATTTGGGGAAATATATCAAATATTGCTCAGAAATACGTTTGCTTAATTTTATCGAGATCGGTTCAGATTTGGATATAGCTCCCATATATAACTTCGTCCGATTTACTTTTGATTGTGCACCAAACGTATAATATTTGCCCAAATTGGATGAAATTTGGCACTTACGACCGAATTGAGTCTGTCAAATTTGGTGAAGATCGGTTCAGATATATCTATATATCGGATGAACAGTATATATGGGAGATACTGTTCATCCGATTTGTCATATTTGTTACCCACAGCCGTAATATGCACTCCGTAACAACGATATTCAGGGAAATATATCAAATACAGCTCAGAAATATCTCGAGATCGATTCCGATTTGGATATAGCTCCCATATATATTTTTATCCGATTTCAAATTAATTGTGCACCAAATGGGCAATACAAGTCCGAATTTAAAAGATACAAATGCTTCGGCATATTTAGTCCTTTGAACTTAAAATTATTATTATAATCATATCGTGTATGATTGAATTATCCAATAAAAACTTTTAATTGTTATGTGGAGCTCTACTAAATTAGCAAAGTGGTGTAGGGTATCATAAAGTCGGGCCCGCCCGACTTTAAGACTTTCTTTACTGGTTTTTTATTCAATTTATTTTAAGATCTGATCTCATCTGCCACCTCCACTCCCAAACAAAATTTTGAAGGATTTTCTTACGAAAATTGCGATTTATTCAATTTTTTTTATACCCTCCACCATAGTATGGGTAGAGGGTATATCTAGTTTGTCATTCCGTTTGTAACACAACGAAATATACATTTTAGACCCCACATATATATATATCTTGATCAGCATAAAATTCTGTGTCGATTTAGCGATGTCCGACCATCTATCTGTCCGTCCGTTTGTGGAAATCACTCTAGCTTCCGAACGAATTAAAGTAGTTTAATCAAATTTTACTCAGATGTGAGTTTGGTCTGCACGACTTTTGATATTGAAAATTGGCTTATAGGTCGACGTTTTCTATATGGGTGTTTTCTACGCATTTTTTTTTTTTTTTTTTTTTTGAAATGTTTCGTGGTTCCTTTCAAATGGTGTAGGACTAGTCGAACGTTTGCTGTTTTTTACATGTTTTTTTAATTGCTGGGACAAGAAAGTTGTGGATATTTCAATAATTCATTGGCAAATATCACTAAGTCAATCCTTGTACGTTCGTCCTTGCTTGTACGTTCGTCGGTCAATACAAACTTGCAATTATTGTTCGGAGAGGATCAGAAATTTCAATTTACACTTGACCTAAATATTCCTTCGAAATCATTTTAAAAGATATGATTTTTTTTTTGTATTTTTAATAATATTAATAAACTATTTGCATTTGATGAATTTTTAATAATTTATTCCATTTTCCAATGTAAATTCTTACATATATACATATCAGCTCTCTATGTTTATCAACAACTTTTTTAACTTCCTGCTAGAAATAAGAAGGTAAAAGATATTAATTTTCTCAATGGCAAATATTTAAATTAGTGCTGTTAAATCGATTCTAAAGATGACCTCCAATACGAGCAATTTACACTATAATTTGCGGCGGCATTTCTGGTATTTTACACACCAAGTCCATTAGATGGTTCATCAATCGAATTACAGCGACACTATCTTAACCATACATCGAAAGAAATGTGCAGCCAATTTCATGGTTCTAATGAATATTTACCCAACACGAAATTTGTTCTGCCCCCATTTGAGGCAATGAGGCCATACATCTACGAAGATGAAATGTGCACCAATGCAAGCATGAAATTGTTTGTTTTT